GACACACACAACATTACGATTCACTGGGAGACGTGTTTCTGGCCACCTGATAAATTTAAACCTCCTTTGAGATCCTCCATCTTCTGAAGGAAATGACTGGGTCTTTAGCGATTTAAGTCAGCACTTTGGTTGCAGTTTGGTGCCGAGTTTATTGCAGCTTTTACTGCTGCTTTTTCTAGAAACCTGTTTGATGGGTGTAGTAAGAGTGCACCACTGTAGTAAAGCTGAGGGTTTTAAACCCACAACAAACCGGACAGATAAAAGCTGCAAAATAAAGAGTGATATCATAAGATCTATGTAGCTTCGTCATTTGAAATCACCTATTTCTTTTCAGAAACAAAATCGATTATTTATTTGTTACTAATCCATTTAATCAACCAGTTATGGAGCTCAGAGTCACGGGGGACACGGGGTCTGTTCAGCGTTATAGGGTCGGGGCAGGGTACGTCCTGGACAGGTCGCCAGTCTATCACATGGCTGATAAAGCAAGACTGACAAACACTCATTACTTATTAACATCTTCAGCCAATTTAGAATTTAATTAACCTGCCAAACATGTTTTATTTAAATATTTAAAATATTAATTAGCACAACACTGAAGCCAGAGCTGCATTAATCATGGAAAACTGGGCACCTGACTGAAGGCAGAACAACTGTGACATTAAAAATTCATTAATAAAAGTAATAATTATGAAAATTTACCATTTTTTTGCTTTTAGCTAGTTTTACTTTTAGTTCTGTGTGTATTTTCTATGTTTAATCTTTTTTGATTTTTATGAAACTACAGATGCGCATTTAGACAAAGTATGACTGACTGCATGAAGGAAGTTGAGCAAGTTGCAAAGTGGCGTGCAGATGCACAAATAGCATGTCATTTATAAAATTGGGCTGTTGCTTGGTGATCTGATGTGGGCTTGCATTACAGTGATGTACTAGGATGACTTTGCAAACCTGGCTTACAGACCATGGTGCTCGAAGTCCTACAAAGGTCTGCTGTATGTATATCAGAGGTTAGAAGGTGAAAAAGTTAAAGCTAAGAGCTAAAACTGACACTGAACACTTGTTGCTGCAGGACAAATCAGTAGTGGCTGCTTTCAGCTTTCTTCAGTGCCTCAGTGATGTAGAGAAGAATCAACCAGTAATGTGGTTCTGAG